AGTATTCATATACTAATGGTTTTTATGAGGACCCTGAGTCTTTTTTAAGATATCAAATGATTCATCCCTCTGATCTGAAAATCAACAGAGCTCTGTTAATTGTTTTTGTTTATCATGGAGGTTAACCACTGTTTGATTTCAGCTATGGCATTCTAATAATAATTCAATTCATGATAAAGGTAAGAACACCTTATCTGAAAAGAAAACTTAGAAAGCAATATACATGTGAGAGAAAGAAAAATATGTCCCATTTTGAGGATTTCAAAAGAATGGAAAAATGTAATTCCAAGTTTTTCATTAGTGTCCATTTCTCTACAGAAAATGAGAGATTATGTGTTTACCTGTGAAGATAGCTATCTTATAATGTGCATAGCTTTTCATAAATGTGTGTGCTGGTTTGAATAGTCATTGCCACAAAGTCTCCAAATGACAGTTTGTGTTAGATCCAGAGACATGTAAGACCTTCTTTGGTAAAAGACCAGCTATCTAACTGTCTTACTCCTATTTAAAGAAATGCAACAAATGCTACTAGTTTCTTTGTTGTCTTGTAATTTTAGAAAATTCAGGAAGAAGATAAATGTGAAGGAGCCAGAATGTGCAAGAGAGACTAAGATAAACAACAGATTCTAACACAAGTTACCACAGCAAGTGGAATAGGTAGTTCAACTTAAAAGTTATACCCTCCACACCATAAATACATCTAACCTCTCAACATCAAGAGATACTAGTGTGGACATTTTGACATTGATTTTAATGAGGAAAAGGTAGACACCAAGTTAAGACTTAGCATGATGTACTCTGATTCCTGTTAGCTAACTCATGGTTTTTAAATATTTCCAGGTATTGATTTGAGAGTCAGCAGTCCTGAGTCCCTCAGGCCCACACTTGCTGGAAACCAGTAGTATTATCTCCGAACTTCAATCCGTCATATGTAGACAAGGGAAATTGGAAAATATAATTTCGAACTTCCTTCCATTTCTAAAATAATCTATTTTATTTTAGAAACCTAGAATCAAATTTAACAAAGTAAATAAAGATATCACTACTTGATACCCTCAGGATGAATAAAGCAAAAGAACCAAGGGAATAACTGAATCTGGTTAACTTTGTAGAAACAGCATAATACTGATTTTTTAAAAAGGTCAAGCAAAACTTTTCTGACATTTACTTCCTGATAGGAGTATGGCTTGGTACGACATGCCTGGAAAGCCATTTGGTAATATATATGAGGAGCCATAAAAATGCCCATTAACTTCTGATTCAGTAATTTCACAACTAAGAATTCATCCTAAGGAAGAATTGGGATAAAAGTTGACTGACAAAGTTTCTCATCACAGTATTCTGTGTAATAGGGGAAACTGTAAAAGCAAAACTATGTATGTTACAAGATGATGCTTAGCTCTGGCCTGGTGGGTGGCTCAGTTGGTTGGAGCATTGTCCCATACACAAAAAGGTGGTGGTTTCGATCCCCGAGAGGTCAGGGCACATACCTAGGTTCAGGTTCCATCCCTGGTTGGGGTACATATACTCAAATTCTTTAAAAAAAAAGATATACTTAAAGCATGGTTAATTCAAATGGTAAGAAATACATGATTCTTTGTTGTCATCATAAGTAATTCCAGTATCTTGACACATAGGTGCCAGGAAGTGCCAGAGAAGTATTACTTCATTCAGTAAATATTTGAGTGTCTACTCTGTGCAGACACCATTCCACGTTCTGAGGATAAAGCAGTAAATAAGAGACAGATCCATCTCCTGGCTTCCTGGAGCTTATGATGCTGCAGTGAGGATAGGCAAATCAATCAATCAATCAATCATCAGTTATTTTTTTTTAAAGCAGGTAAATGTGTAGTGTATCAGATGATTTAAAGTGTTATGTGTGGAGAAAAATGAATCAGGGTAAGGTTGTGGGAGTATGGAGGGGGGAACTTATTATTTTATAGGGGATAGTCACAGCAGTTCTCACTGATAAGGAGTCTTTTGAGTAGAGACCTGAGGCAATCAGAGGATGAGACATGTACTGTAGATACCCAGAAAGAGTGATCTAGATAGCAGGCTTTGAAACAGAAGCACACTTGGTATATTCATGAAATACTACAAAGTCAGTAAGTCTGGACTAGATGAACTAAGGCAGGAAATGAGTTTGGACAGGAGGGAATGCAGGCTATGTGGGGCCCTGTGGGTCACTGCAAGGACACTGAACTTAATTAAACCAGAAATTAAGTCATTGATATTTACTGAGTCCTCATTGTGTAACCTAATATTGGGTGACCAATAACTGGCTATATATTCCTTGCTAAAACATACTCCCAGAATACTTTTCTATCTCTTGCCTAGAAATTATTTTCTTTCTTAATGCCTAATTAAACTTGTGACAACAGAGAATAAAGCTAATAGCATGAGTGAATGAACTGTGAGGACTAATATTATTACCTTAAACTAACTAATTTATTTCATATTTGTCTTGATAAAGGCAAATGGTGAAAAGAAAGGTAAGGAGGCCTGGCATCTGTGGCCTCCATCTCTGGATTGTCCTATGTCTAGGAACGTCTGCTATGGAAGGTCAGAGAGAAGAGCCATCTAGTAGAATCACGAGAGATTTTTCTCAAACCTCATCCCACTCACCCTTTGACCATCATCAGTATTTCAAGTCCAAGGATATTCTAATCTATAAGAACAGGGTCTGGGACAGATCCTTCAATAACTAGTTTGAAGATGGAAAATCTGAAGTTCATGAGCAAGAAGACCATGCTATTTGGGGCTCACTGAGGTTCTGGATTCTGCTGTCCTGTGCAGACCCCACTCTGATCCTAGGTGGAACCTCTCCTTTGGTCATACCTTACATACAGATGTGAGTGACTTTGGTGATAAAGGTGCATAAGTGAGAGTGTGGGCCAGCATGAGCCCATCTCCACTGGGACAAAGATAACTTAGAGTACATACCTGCTTGGTGAGGTCCAAATTGTGACTAAAATGTTAGTCTTTGCTATTTGAGCCATGATTTAGAGTTCCAGAGACCATTCAAAGAATGAGAGACTTCTGAACTCTTTATTCCACCTTTTTAGATCTCACAATTCCATAGTGTCATTTGGGGTTTGAACATGTAGGACAATGTGTGGCTTTTCTTCAAATGCCTGAACCCAGATCCCATGACATTATTCTCCATTGATGGTAATGTTGTTAATGGACCTTTAATGAAGTGAAGCCCCTGATAACAACATGGGAGGAAAACAAAGTGGGAAGGACTGTTTTGCCCCACATTCACACTCCTACTCTTTTCTGATGCTGTGTTTCTAGAGTATGCCATGACCACTGGCCAGATAGAGATTTATTCATCCACTTGCTGAGTGAGACCAGTATTTATTGCAACATTCTCTTCTTCTGGCCAACACATTTGTGTGCACTTTACATAGGAATGTGAGATTCATGGCCAACCAATAACCCTGGAAAGGCCAATGTCTGGTGACACATTCAATATCCAGAGCTGTTAGGAGAGGTTGAGCCCTCCTTGAAGACAACCACTTTTGCACAAGTTGCCTCACAGTTACAGCAATGACTGGAGTTTAAATATAACCACACCAGGATAAAGGAGCGGGCACAGTGGGCAAACACATGGCCATCCTTGAAACCACAGGCATGCTGGCAGCATAGACTCCTCCTATTTCCCATAGGTAATAGCTCATTGTAGCCAACTGAGATCCAGCGGTGATTAATTAATCTAAGTAAGTGTGTTCATTAAAATCTATGATCTGCTTCTAATGGTATTTATGAAGATATTTAGAAGTAAAGACGTTCTCCAGTGTAGAACACTTCGTAAGAAAAATCTGCGAGAAGCACCCAGTCACTTGAGCTTTTAATCAATTCCTGGGTAAATTTTTAATCCTTGACTCTTGTCTATGGAAATTTGGCTGATGGTCTAAATCTTGACATGGATCTTGCCCTGATTCTAAAGACCTTTCCTATCCCTGAGTCCCTACAGTAATTCTGTATATGTCACTCATTACATTTTATCTTGAATGGCCTAGTACAAAATTAAATGCTCCTCACTCTTACAGTAGACCATTAACTATGTATGTGGGTTTGCTCTACTTCCCAGCCATATATTTCTTATGATGATATAGCCTTGTACTTATTTATTTCCCTCCCCTTCTTTCCCTTCCATTTATTCACAAATATTTGAATACCTACTAAGTATCAGGGACATTATTAGGATCTGGGTCTATAGGGGTAAGCATGAGGCTTAAAAATTAAACTCAGTTACAATAAAATAATCTCAAACAAATATGGTGTCACTGGTGCTCACTGTATTCTACTTTTATAGCACTAGATCTCATACTTTTTAAAAGTTTCAGGATTTGTACTTCCTAACCCTTTTCTTTATCCACAATTATTCTTTGGACTTCAGTGATAAAGTCAAATTATACTCTCTGTATGTTTATAAAATTAAACTAGCAGCAAAGTTACAACCAAAGTGACAAATTTCCACAAGCACATTAGTATATAAAGGGAGGGAGAATATAGTTCTCTTAACACTGCCAATGGGCAGTTTCTAAGGAAAAGGCATCCTTTATCTTCCTGGGGCAGCCCAGACATTTTCAGGAGACAGGCTAAAATCCCATTGTGTGGAGAAAATGGAGAGGCAAAAGGTAACAGAAATAATTTTTATTATAATTCTCACTGAAAAACAATACAGAAAACCAGTGAACATGAATATAGGTCAAAAGTCAATATTAAAATAGTTCAAGGGAATACAATATTAAAATAGTTCAAGAAAACAATAAGTGTATCCACCAGTCAATCATCAACATGAAAACAGTTCAACTAAAAAATCAAACTATTAATCCAACTAAGATGTTTAAGGCATATATAGAAAGAACTTGCAAGTAGACATTCTTCATTGTTAGACTAACATCTCAAGGTAGGAGAGGACATAAGAAGGAGAGAGAAAGAATTGGGAGAGGGGAGAGAGAGAGAGAGAGAGAGAGAAAGAGAGAGAGAGAGAGAGAGAGAGAGAGGGAGGGAAAGAAAAAACAATATTTTATGTTTTTTTTTGTTTGTGTTTTTTTTAAACATGCTAAATAATTTGTTAGGCACTGTATGCATTATTTCACTTAATCCTTACAACAATTTTTCAAGGTATATTTTTCTCCCCATTTTAAAAATAAAGAGACTCATAGAGTTTAAATGACTTGCCCAGGGCCTAAAGTTGGAGTGGCAGAGAGATTAGAACCCAACTCCACTCCAAAGCCCTCCTTCTTTCCTCTGAAATCAGGTATTTCTAGACTACAGTATACCCACAAGTGGAAAACATCTCAGAGTAGATTTATAGACCTGAGGAGGTCTTAATTTAGTCCAACCTATGTATACCTTTTTTTGGAGCTTGGGAGTAGAGCAATCTGGACCACATTTCCAAGAGGGCAAGTCTGATTTGACAATGTCTTCTTTGTTTCAGAAGAAAGACCACACCAGGAGAAAGAAGGGATAGGAGAACTGAATGCTGCCTCCCAGTCTGGTGGGCTATCAATAGTTTTCCTAGAGTAGGTTGTTAATAGAAAATGGAGGGAAAATGTATGGTAAACAGAAATGTGCAAACCCAAATGTGTGAGTAGAATGATGATTACAAAGATGAATCAACTCTTATAACCCAGATTCCTTAGCTGTCAAAATCTGAAGATAAAGAAACTCAAAGAAACACCAAGCATGTAGCAAAACTATACACTAAATCATTTCTGCATCATGTCCACAGCCACACAGGCTAACGTTTTCTATTCTGATGGCCCCTTCTTAGTTGATGATTTTTCACAATGTATTTCATGGCTTCCATCCCTACATGAGACTTTATTACTATCACATAGGAATAAAAAGCCATAAAGCACTAGAGTGAATTTATCTTGGTCGGATGCAAAACTTATTTTCTTCACATGACTTCACAACCATTTCCAAGCTAACCAATCATTTCATGCTACATTAAGGAACATTTTAAACTACACATAAGTGACAGGAAGCACACTTAAATTGTGACATCACAAGTTAACAGGATTTCATCCTTCAGCAACACTCTTAGCTACAAGGACTAGGAAACAAGACCAGGAGACACTCAGCAACACACAACCATTGAATTCACCAAAAACAAAGGACACTGGGGAGAATTCCTGGAGAAAAGCTCATCACTTTGACATTGGACTTGGAAACACATGAGGAAAGACAGAAGACAGACAAATCACTGGTACAAACTGAAACCAGGGGACTTATTTCAAGCCTCTCATTTCAACTTCTTCCCCTGGGAAATGTTCTTACATGCCCACAGTCAGCTTTCAGCCTTTCCATTTTGGAGCAGGTGGGGAGGGGGAAAACTTCAGCACCTGCTTGCACTAAGCATTTGGCCATCTACACTTAAGTAACAAAAAAGGAAGAAAAGAAAAAAAGAGAGAGAAAAAACTCTACACCATGATAAGGGACCACAAGTGCTAATTGCTTACCTATAGCCCTTCATGGAGGCTGACACCATCCCCCACCCCCGTACATGGAAGGAAATATCTAACTCTACCAGAAACAATAGAGTGCATGAAGTCCCTCAGTGATCTAAATAACTCAGGTCCAGAGCCCAAGGACATTCTTTATGCTGCATTAAAGTGACATTGCTTGTGGAATTTTTAATACACTTATAAGTGGCCACACCAAAATCCAGTTCTCCAGGACCACTGAAGACCCAATGCCATAGTTGCTATGTATTTATGGCCTTTCAAAAATAAACTGGGAGTGCCTAATTACCAGCTCCTGAAACAGTGTCCGAGACTATGGAGCGCTGTCCTCTGCTTTCTAAAAAAAAAACACATTATATTATGCAGATTCCAATAAAAGAAACAAGAACTTGAGTTTCTCATTAGGAGTAAGGTCTAGGCCACCAATTTCCACCTAGAGGTTACTATAATGAAATCTTGATTTATGTGAATCACAGGGAGGGGACTGGAAATAGTTAAATGAAAGGAAGTGCATACATAGATTCAATTATCATGCATGAAACATGCAAATGATTTAAACACTGCCTCTGAAACACTAGTTTATATTCATTAATCTCAGGTTGCACTTTTGAAGGAGAAAGACATGTTAATTGGGTCCAGATTAATGCACTCCCAAACCTCTCCAATTTGTTTTTAGGTGAGGGTTAAATGATATGTATTAAAATAAACACAGCTGCTCATCTGCCTCTATATTCCCCCTCCCCCACTCCACCTCTACCTCCACTCCCAGCTGCCTCCCCTCCCCTACTACAGCCCACCCCAGATGGCTCACCCCCCACCACACCTCTCCATCCTTTAGGGAAGACATTAAAGAGCCCTAACATTTTTATTTTGAAAATACACTGGGAGAATAACCGTGTCTCTTAGCTTTTTCAATATTTTCCCTTTCCCCCCAAAGCTACCAAACTCCAGAAAATCAGTTGCACATCAAATCCTGAGATTGCCTAACTGTGGCATCAAGGAAATGCACACATGGGCACACAGGCTAGCATTTCCAGAGACAGGGGTCCTTTCTATAAGCCTAAGTCCTGTACGGAAGGGCAGTTTTAAAGTGTCCCAGCCCATGCTTACTTGGAGCCAAAGTTGCTGCAGGTTGGCATGGCAATCCTGTGCCTTAGTTATGTGGGAAACTAGAGAATTGAGAGAACACTGGGTTTTGGTTGCTGTTCTTCCTCTGTGGCTCACTCTGCCAACAGGAACTAGCATAGAGCAGAGGGTACCCAAAAGGTCTTTTGAAAGATCACCTTGCTTTCCTCTCCCTCCTCCCTGCCAAATTTAAA